GTTTTCAAAAGAGGGCAAGAGGCCCCAACCACTTCTAGAGGTTCATGTGAGAACGAACAATATGAAATTTCAAGGTCCTCCAGCAACGGAAGTTTCGAAGCCACTGCACTCAGTCCCTCATTTGTTATGTCATAGCAATGGGCAAGTCGGAGGCGTTTGATTCCCATCGAACTATTGAAAGGTTAAAGATGAATATGTTAGTAGTTATACAGAGACACAAAAATACACTTCAGGAAATTCTACATCAACATAATAATTCACTGGCATGAATAAATGGAAGTTCCAGCATACATATGCATATGTACATATGCGTCTGTTTTTGTATTTGTAGTCTGAACGAAGTCAGAGAGAACAAAAAGGAGGAAAAGAAGGCATTACTTAAACAAGCGGCAGGATGCCACTAATAAGCAAACAAAGAAAATACCAGCCCTTTTCTCGCAAACGATATGCACAACATAGCATGTCTAGTTAGAAAACTATTAAGCCAAGTTGCCAAATGACATGTCTCACATCACACACCGTGAACAAGTTGATTGTTGTTAGGAAGGCCAGAAGTAGGCCCTAATTGGCTTCCTCTCTGGCAGCTTCCTACCTTACCCCAGAAAGGGGATCGGTGATGTTTCCTTCTATAAATCGTATCTTTTGGCTTAGGTAAATTACACAAGAACTCTCATGTAAGATTGAATCCCAGAACTCACCCTCCAACACAGTTCTTGAGGGGAACAAGGTGTCATTAGGCTCAAAGTGAATTGATGATATTAAATCATAGCACTTTGGAAAGGGCTCAGGGGAGTTAAAATCTCCATCACCAGAAATGCCGCACCCACGAACATTAAGTCAGCAAAACCAAGGACAAAGTTAGGGACTTCAAAGGCAGGCATTACACAAACGTGAAGAGAGTCCAGTCCTAGAGTGTCTCCATGATGTAAAATACATCATAGACAGTTGTGGCATAGGGGAGTCTACTCACCTCAGAATCACTTTCGAGTGGCAACGGTGACATATGGAGCATATCTAAGAGTACCTTTAATACTAAGGAAAAGGGAGTTTCTAAGCACTCCAAACTCCGGACTACGCAGGATTAAAAGATACAAAAACAAGACACCATTTTTAATTGAAACTTCAAATCCCCAAAACCAAACATACATACACAACTAAATTTGAACTCAACCAATATAAAAGCAATTATCATTTCGTATGTATATATATAAACCAAAACATTTAACAAAAATAATTAAATTGAATTACCTGTCGGTAATGTACTTGAGGAGCTCGTCGGTGCCGAAGATATCGACATTGATATCGATCAAATTGCCGGAGCTCCGATCGACAGCGTCGCGGCACATCTTCTCCAAGTCGTGATGAATGTGCCTCTGATCATCAAGATCAACGCGCATGTCGATGGTGCGCCACGTCAGCGGGTCCTTGCAGATGTTGCGCCACGTCACGCATACCATCTGAGCGCTCGTCAGGATTTCGATGGCTCCGAGCCGCGAGAGTATCGAGGCCGTGACGTCGTCTGGGAGTTCCGCCCAGTTCCGGCCCCGGCCTGGAGCGGTTCGAGAAGATGAGACCATTGTTGTTGGGAGCGTTTGATTTGGGGATGGATTGGAGGCTAAATGGAGGATACGCTTAATTAGGTGGTTTTATGAGAACCTTAATTGCAAATGAAAATTCAACTTTAACCTTAATTTATTTTTATTTTTATTTTTATACCAGTTATTAATCTAAATTATTTTAAATTAATATAATTTATCCAATCCAATCCAATACTAGTCATCAAAC